ATATTTATTACTAAAAAGTAGAGTAGCAAATATTTGATAATGTGATCGGCCATTGAACAGAGAAACGTGGAACGAGTCATTTGTCCATTGAAACGAATATATTCTATTTTACTCTGGATGAAAAAAATAAAAACAGGACACTCATTTTCTTAAATTGAAGAAAGTATAATGTTTTCTTTTTCAGAAAAAAATAATGTGGGGTACATACTTGGAGCCGTAAACTTAATTAAGTTAAAGTATAAATTAACTTGTTACGCGTAGGATTAATAAACATGTATTTATTTGTTGATATTCCCAAGACAAGTATTTGTAGCACTCGTCCTACCATCTCCTATAATATAATATGCTAATCTTTCACAATTTCTATTTCTCCAAACCCAAAACCATCACATTTAAGCAACTAATCTTTCTTATTGGTGTCTGATACAACGGATTGATGATTAGTTTTGTTCATGAGCTCACTTCTTGCATCTCCGAGCAGAGGCAAATAAAAAAAAACTGTGAATACCGACTCTTTTACATCCAAATAGATGTTAGGGTTTTGTCCTGATTTTCTTACCATAATTTAAGATTTATTTTTCTTAAAGAAAAGACAAAACATTACCATAAATGTTTTTACTTTTCATGAAAGGAAAATATAATATTCTTTCATATTTGGTTTATTCTTTCTTCTTAGGAAAAAAGTTTTGGAGTAGCTAGTTCTTTTCTAGTAGGAAAGACTGTAGGACTATAAATATAGGTTTGTTTCTTCTAACACAAAACAATAACATCCACAATGTAGTCGTTTAAGAGTCTTGTTTATGAGGAGATTTTATTCTCTCTAAAGTTTCAATTGTTTTTCTTTATATTAGTTTTGATATAATAATATTTTGATTTTTAGTATAAGATTTTGTTATCTGATTTATCAACCATATGATTTGCAAATTGCAATCTTCCACATGACGCCCTAATCACCCTTCATAACCCAACAATAGATAACTATATAATTTTAAATTTAGAGAACCTCCAACTTTACAGAACCCCAAAATGACCTTAAAGATACGTAGTTATTTAGTTTTGGATTGAAATGGAGCAGAATAATACAATAGGATTTATATGACCGAGCAAAACTAGGTTGGGACTGGAAGAGTGGAAGTGATTTGTCTTAATGAGAAACATCACTAGTAGGGACCGCAAGGGCATGGTTGAGTGGTTGGGAGGTGGGTCTCCCATGTGGGACATCTACCAGATCGAATCCAACCTTCATTTGCTACTCAGCTATGAGCTCGTTGCATAGGGCTTGTCTAATGCGATTTATATCTCTTGTGTGATTTATGGGCTATTGCAATGAGTAGGTTACCACAAAATGTTCACCATGTAGTGTTCACGCAAAAGACATAGGCTATGATAGAGATTGTGGGTTTACCTGGGATTCCCCAAAAAAAAACATGACTAGTAGTAAGAGCTTGTTTAGTGAAGCTTCTTGGAGGCTAAAACCTTTTTTTTTTGCAAATTTTGAATAGTTCTCATCATTTGTATTGATCATTAATCATACATGTGAGTGTGCTCATTACTTTAGATCTAGAATACATTATCTTAATTAAGTTGATTTTTTATTCTAAATTATTGCTTAACCAAGTCTTACTATAATCCTTTTATTTAAGCACTACCAACATTTAATTATATTAACTCTAAACCAGAAGTTGACAGACTATAAAATTTATTTTTGCAAGTGGAAAATTATTTATCGGTGGAAAATCAAATGGTGCTAATAGGTTCTTAGATTTGACACATGAAGGATTGAAGGTACGCTAATAGTAACACAACCACGCCAGCCTTCATTTATGCTTTATTTAAGGGTTATAAAATCACCAAAATCATGGAAAAAAGATTAATCTCATATGTCATTATAATGATTTTTCTAATAATCTTTCCGTGTCTTTGGACCAAATATGTAAAACTTTTGCATTGGATATATAGGGACTATCATTTCCCCACTCATACAATAGGGACTATTTTTGTCATAACCTAAATTTGAATTTGAATGATTCTGACTTCTGACTTAGGATCATTAATCATGCATGTGAATGTGCACGTTACTCTTTAGATTTAGAAATACATTATCTTAATCAAGTTGACCTTTTATTCTAAATTATTGCTTAAAGCAAAGTGTTACTATAATCCTTTAATTTAAGCGCCATCAACAATTAATTAATATAAATGTTATTTTAGTCATTTTTCCTATTATTATCATGTGCGCGTTCAACATTTATTCAAACTATTCATCATTAAATTTCTTTTGTTTGTACATTAATAATAGTTGACCAACCGACCGGGAGAGATGTGAGTTGTTCTTTATTAATTTATATTTATTACTAGTTGATATTCACTCATGTTATAAGATCAGGGTGTATTTAAGTTTAGTTAGTTAAGTAAATGAGTGTTTTAAGGTTATCAATAGTTTAAGCTGAAACTAATAATTTGTGCCGAGTTTAGGGGTGTTTTCAATATACTTGTCTCTTTATTTATTTACTACTCCATTTGTCCGACTAGAGTTATTCATTACTGACTTGACATACACCTTAAGAAACAAATTTAATTTATGCTTTCAGAAAAATATTAGATATTGAACACGTATTTAATAACAAAGATAAGATAAATACAAAAGGATAAATTATCTTTTAATTTCTAAATTGGATAAATATTATTGGACAGGGAATAATTGACATTCCCACACCAACTGTATATTTGTATCATTCTTCAAGATTGAAGTCCACCATTATCTCCTATAATACAATTCTCTCTCATTTTATATTTCTGTTACCATCACCTTTTGGACCAATTGATCTCTCATTTGTTGCAACCCTCATCAACAACACAAGGTGAGAATCCTTTTTAAGTTCTTTTTGTTGTTATTTTGCTATGTCTCTTCTGATCTTTTGTACAATAATATATACACGTTTTATGCCTTCTTTATATATGTTGTGATTATGAGTTCCTTTTCTTTCCAAAATACACTGATTCACCTTGATTATATATACTAATATATTTGATCATATTTATCTCTGTACTCTTAGAAAAAGAATTATATTTGCCTTTTATTATACTTTTTTAATATATTTGTCCTTACCATCCAACTTTAAGGCCATAGTTACCCTTTATCCGTTAAGTCTCCATATTTTCACATAATATTATCTATATGGTGCGTATGTGGATTTTAGTTTTACCTAATTAAATCAAAATATTATTAAATTCATTTTAACTCACCTACATAGAATTGAACTCGACCCACTAACCACAAAAATGAACCTAAGACCAAGACCTTATCTATCGTGGGTTTGGGTTTATGCTTGTCTAGGAGAGATGGGTTAATGGAGTTGTACAGAGGAATGAAATTGTTAGACCGAAAAACTGAAGCATCACCCTTGAACCATCGAATCAGATCCACCAAATAAATATATTCCCGAACTACATTAAATATTCTAGATATATACAAGTTTCCTGGTAGTTGTTTCGAATTTAGTCTCATCTACTCTCCGTTTCACCATCGATAGCCACCGGAAACCAACTTGAATCTTCCATCTCCATTGTTGAGCCTCACTTCACCTTCTCCACCGTCTCTGATACTATCGAGAAAACAGAGCACATGTATAATGTTTGTGAAATTCTACCTATTTTTGAATTAAGTGCTAATTAACCAATTTTGTGCGTTGAGATTAAAGATGAAAGTTGGCTCTAATTTACTTAACAAAAATATTAAATTGAATGTTAAAATTTATTTTTAGTTCTAAAGTTGATCGTTGTCTGACGTAAAAGAGGAGGTATATAATTTTCTGCATTTGTTCTAATAGAAACGCCCATAGAGAAAATTTAAGAAGAATCAAATTAGGTTAATTTTGATTAGTGAATTCGGTTTAATGTATGGAGTAGGTTAAAATTATTTAAATAATAGTTTGATCTAATTAGAAGAAAATAAAATTCACGTAGGCGCTACATTAGTATTTTTATGTGGGAATATGAAAGTTTAACGAATAAAGGGTAAATATGACCTTATAGTTGGATGACAAAGACAAATATATCAAAAAATTCATGAAAAAAGGTAAATATGATCCTTTTTCTAAGAGTATAGGGGTAAATATGGCCCTTTTCCGTTTTATTTATTAGTGGAGTCCATGTTTATATGACATAATAAAAAAATAATTATGTTGTCATGTCAAATTTTGTTTAATAATTAATTTAGTTGAGTGATTTTGGAAGATAAAAACTTTACGTTAAGTGATTTTGAAAGATATAAAATAAAATTTAATAACTTTAGTATATAAATTTTCATAGTGGAGTCATCTTTTAGGATATTAACTCATTTTTTACGAAATAGATATTTTGTCTAATTAAACCCATCTCAGCCAAAAAGAAAAGAAAAAGAGGTCACACTGACTAGAAAGGAGGACGGCCTCGAATTAACTCACATTGATTACATATTGGTGACACATAAGACTTATATAGAAAAAAGTTTAAATATGTTATCCAACTTTAAGAAAATTTTACAAAATTGGAGTTAAAAAATATTTACATGAATGAGTCTTTTTCCAAAACGGCAATAACATGATCCAAATTTTTAACGGATGATATAAATAGATCTTGGATTTGGTTTTTTTTCTTCTCTAAGTTATGAAATAATGTGGTTTCCCTTTCTTTTATGACAAAGCAATCAATTCAAGGCATGGAAGTTGTTGAGACTTGTGGAAAAGGAACTCTTTCTGCTGGAGAACCTTCCACCAAACGTAGTATTACATCAATTTATGATGATGATGAAGTTGTGGGCTTTGAGAAAGATGCAGAAATTATAATGAAGAAATTGATACGAGGAACTAAGGAGCGGGATCTTATCTCCATCTTTGGAATGCCCGGACTCGGTAAAACAACTTTGACAAGAAAGGTGTACAACAATCCCTATATTGTTGATCACTTTGATGTTAAAGCATGGTGTGCTGTGTCACAAGCATATAATAGGAGGACGTTATTGGTTGAGATTTTCAAACAAACTACAAATAATGAGATCAAAATCAAAGAGGACGACGATGTAGCTGACATGTTGCGCAGGGTTCTAATAGGCAAGAGATACCTCATCGTATTAGATGACATTTGGGATGTCAAGGCATGGGAAGATTTGGGAATATGTTTCCCTCAAGGTGAATATGGAAGCAGAGTAATGGTTACAACACGAATTGAACAAGTGGCTAAGGATCTTCAGCACCACAGTTTTCCTTATTCTCTTAGCTTTCTAACATCCGAAGAGAGTTGGGAATTATTGGAGAAGAAGGTATTTCGAGGAGAGAGTTGTCCCCGGGATCTACTGGAAGCAGGGCTACAAGTTGCCCTACACTGTAAGGGATTGCCTCTTGTGGTTGTTCTGATTGCTGGAATGATTGCAAAAATGGATAGGGAGTCGTCCTTGTGGCTCGAGGTTGCGAATGATTTAAGTTCCATTGGTTTAGGAGAGCAGAGTATGAAGGTAATACAATCAAGTTATGACCATTTAGAAGACCACTTAAAGCCTTGCCTTCTTTACATGGGATTGTTTCCAGAGGACCATAAGATTCCAGTGGACGATCTGCTGAAGTTGTGGATGGCTGAAGAATTTGTATTGAATGCCGAAAAAGAGAACATGGAGGAAGCATCTCGAGTTTGCTTGAGTAATTTGCTTAACAGAAGCCTAGTAATGGTCTCCGGAATGAGAATTAATCGTGATGTAGAATACTGCTCACTTCATGATGTAGTGCGTGAGTTCTGTTTGAGAAAACTCACAGAAGACAAGTATATGCAGCTAGCAATGCCATACAATCCGTTTCAACAGTTGCATTCCACGGAATCACGGTTATGCATTTATATTCATGATGATCTTGTTAAACAATTAGATCATTCTGACTACCAATTGGATAAGATTCCAACGCTGGATTTCAAGGAAACAAATTCTTTGGAGTTCATTGCTCATCCAAAACTTAATACATGGAATAACCGATATTCAAATCCTTTAGATTTAGTTGTTAAATTAAGATTTGTTCGGGCATTGCATTTGATGGATGTCTTATTGCCAAATTCATGGGCTACTGCAATTCAATCGCTTACTCAGTTGAGATACCTTGCAATTTATGTCAGAGATTTTGAATTGAAGTGGATATCACACCTACACAATCTCCAAACTCTACAGGTCCAGTCCAGTAAGATATTACACCTAAAGGCTGCTACTTTATGGGAAATGACGAAGCTAAGACATGTAAATATTAACTGTCTTTCGGTGGTATGGAAAGACAATTACGAAGGAACACTACTAGAAAATAGGCCTACGGCAACAAACATAAAACCGTTGCAATAGATAGTAAAACTGTTGCAATAGATCTATCGCAACGGTTCAACACCCGTTTCATCTGATCGCGTGGCAATAGATCTATTGCAACGGTTTTGGCAACGGTTTTAGAACCGTTGCAGAAGGTGTACCTATTGCAATGATTTTTCCTCCGTTGCTATAAGACAATCTATTGCAACGGTTCTTTTATCAATTGGAGCGGCTTAAATCCATTGCCATATGTTTTATGCAACAACTTTTTTTATACTATTGCAACAGTAATATAGACTATTGCAACAGATTTTATGGGCTATGATTTGGTGATCAACTGCAACGGTTTGTTTAGGATATTGCAACTGTTCAATGAAAAAACAATATACTATTATTTATATATTGAAAATAATACTCCAATATTTAAATAAATCAGGATAAGAAGTATTCACCAACTAACATAATCATAGTCCTTCCAGCTGGTGTTATTAACTCTATATATAAAATATTGTTTAACAATTCAAGACTTGGCATACATAAATTTACAAAATTTAATTAAGAAATATGGTATTCGTAAAATGTTAAAGATCTCTGGCAACAATCAACGAACACTCTTTTCGTAAAGTCTTCACTGCTTTTGTCTACTATTTATTCATTTGATTCACCTACAAAAGATCATAAATAAGTTAACGCAATAAAATTCGCAAAACAATAGTGTTAATACATAAAAAAAAATTGATAATGACCGATCAATACATAAATATATAAAACGATTGAAAAATAGTGTAGGGTATGCAGATTAAGTAAGCACGATATTATTCAGATCTTCTCCATAATATAGTATTACATAGTGAGTGAAAAAAAAGAGATTTACTAAAAAAGAGTTTTAGAAAATGCATAGCCACTGGCCTTGTCTTAAGCCTAGCCACTGACGTTAGCTTAAAACAATTGAAACTATTATCACTATGAAAGAGTAATCCTCCGAGGGACTTCACCGAAACTTCATCATCCAAAGGTTAAACATTATACATTAGCCTCCACCGTGCTTCGAGAAGTTTAAGAAGTGATAAATAAAAGCAACAAGTACGCTATTTTAAAAAATATTCATACAGACACGTCTAAAAACTTTATGTAGCTTTCTTAGTTATTTGCTTTCAAAACAACTACTAGCTTTGTTAAGATTGTATTTAGCACTTCAGATTGCAAAACAAAAATGCAGAGGAAATGAAGTAGTAAAGCAGATACACATAACATCTGTACAATCTCACATTCTCTTGAATTAACAAGATTTTCACATTAAAACAAGAAGCATAAAAGAAGTTGGCATACAGAGAATTTTGAACACTGACCTTTTATCGCGAGAATCATTTTTATTTTATATGGGAGTACAAGAATTGTTTGCAGATAACTTGTTATTAGCTCTGCATCAGCAACCTGCAAATTGACATGGAAAATATGCCAACAAATTCAATCTAGTTTACCCTTACTCCAATTTGGAGACAACACAACCAGTAAGTCCACTGATATCATCTTAAGTTAAAGTTTCATTAATTTCACATCCTAATTCCTAGTCCTATTATAAGAATCTAACTAGATAAGAAAAACTCATGAATATTATTTATAGTGAGGGGAGTATAGAATTACATTCAAAACGAAGTCGGTAGGATGATAACACGACTCTTAAAAGTTATACAAAAAGAAATAAGATATATGGAAATCACCCGAAAGCACGATGGATTAAGAATTAAATTTAACAGAAGAATAAATCAACTGCAACATAGTGTGACAACAACAAGGATTTGTTTATTAATAATTATTTTGGAGAGAGGAAGAAAAATGCTACTCATAATTTAATTATCTCTTTAATGTAACACATGACATAGAGCTCGTTTTGGATTTGCTCAATTTAAGTGTTTAAGCCAAAATAGCTTTTATGAATTTTTGTAGTGCTTGGCTATAAGACAATCCATAATGTTAACAAAGACAATGGGCTACATCAGAATATCTAGTTTGCTAATTAAATCCATGTATTATCCACTTGACAACCAATTTTCAAGTATTGTTATTAAGGCCAGCACTGCACTTCAGAAGGTATCACATAATAAATGAAAGCATTTTTGCCAAATCTTACTAGTAGTTGATAACAAACCTGCAGGTGATGCTAGCAATGGAAAAGTTGTTTGTTATCTGCCATTCTGCACCAATGCTGCTGGACACAAGATCAGGCTATGAGGTTCAAGCATCCAACATATAACAAATTTTAGAATAACATTTATGTTTATACAAAACAATACTACTTGTAAAACATTCAAGGTAATTACTACTAAATTCCTATCTAACTATAACAATATCTTGAAAACTACAAGAGAAATCAGATAAATTAAAAGGGTTATCTTTGATTCGATGAACAATTGAAACTCGCCAAAAAAAAGTTAGTGTCATTCATCGAATACAACAGATTCAATGAAGTCCTAATTTCAACTCTATAAACTAAGTTGTTGAAAATAAGGTTGAAATCTTGATAGTACCATAATAATTACTTTCTACACCATTGAATACTGAACCATATGCAATTACTACACTACTGAATACTGAACCATATACATACTAAGAAATGAAAATACAATACCAAGACCAAAAAATAGTAAGAGAAGTTGAAGTAACATTCAGAGTAAAAGAATTGTACTGATTTACCAGCCTAGTTACAGGATCTTTAGCCTCCTCCAATGACCTTTGACTCCATATTCTTGACTTCATCTCGAATTCTACCAAGCACATTCTTCTGTTACAAAATCACTTCAAGTAAAAACAGAACTGCTATTAGAAGCTTACTATACTTATCATCACAATGGTGTGTGGTTTAAAACATTTTACTTTCAAAAAAGCAAGGATTTTTAGGGATCACAACAAATAATCAAATCAATAATCAGTACTAGTTCTTCCTCGACAAAAATGCACTTATAATACTTCAGGCACAAAAAAATTTGGAACATAAAGACATGCACTCTTGAATTCATTTCTCAACAACAAAAAAAAAATACTCGATTTTGCTTAAAAATTTGTTAATGACAAACTAAACCACACAGAAAGCTCTAAACATTGTTGGATTTGTATTGAAAGAGTGAATTATTGATTCTAAAGGGATTATAGGACTTCAATGGCTCACATCAAATCACATTTTATCTAAAATCTCAATGTAGCAAGTGCAACAAACTTGTGTGGTTTACTTGAAACATTTTTCCCTCTCATTTACCATAGTGGATGAACTCTTTTTTTTATATATAAGATAAAGGTTTATGGACCATGTACCAACAGGATGAACTCTTATTAGTGGTTGGAAGATATTTCATGATATTACTTATAATGCTTCAGTAATATATGTGCCACTTATATCTATCAAGACTCAAGAATGTGTATATGTTTAAAACTCATATAATTAAGAATAAACAAACTCGATAATAAATAATAAACACAATATCTCAGTTTTATACCTTCCAAACCAAGCTTTAGTGAAACAAATTAATCATTAGAAAAATAGATAATACCTTAGACGAAGAGTGGTCAACTGAAAATCGCTTCACTCTCTATTTCTCCAGTTTTCTTCATAAACAGTTGCTTTGGCGAAATTTCTCTTATTTTGATGAAACTTGGTACTTAGTCTGAGCACAGTGACCTCAGAACGAGACTGCTAGTGTGGTCCAATGAGGAACCAGATTCGCTCTTCCCCTGCTTCGTTAATTTGAACTTACAGGCTAATTTAGGTCAGCGATTAGGCCTCTGAACACCAAATCAAAGGAGTTACCAACTGGGTTCCATGAGTTGCATTTTAAAGAAAATAAGGACCAAATACAGAAAAAATCTCTACAAAAACAAATCGTAAGAAAAATAAAGAACCAAATTTACACTTGCAGGTGTAATATAAATAACATTGTATCTATATAGTACTTATAGATTCAGTAGATACTTATCTATGTCATTGATGAAGACGGCGAGAATAAGAGCAAAAATTTTGTTACAAGTTCTTTGCTGCTGGTTGGGTAAATGAAAAAGAAGGGAAAGATAAATGGAATACAGAAGATATAAAAGCCCTAATTATAAGGTGGGAAAATAAGGAGCCAAATAAAAAGCGTTGCCATATATATTTATATTAATTAACTGTTACTATAGAGACAACTTTAGCAACGAATATTGTAAGTGTTGTAATAGTTATATCTACCGCAACAGTTCTTCTCCTACCGCAACAGTTCAATTAGATAAGTGTTCTAACAGACCCAATAATCTTATGCAACGGGCGGAACCGTTGCCATTGACTATCTATTGCAACAGTTGTATAACCGTTGCCAGAAAAAGTGTTGCCATATGTTCAATTTCTAGTAGTGGAAGTTTTGAAGAATGTTCAACAAGTATGCTAGAGAACATGAAGACTTTTCACACTTGCCATATATTGTTTGATAAAATGAATCCAAGGTTCTGGTGGAGGTTTCCGAATCTTGAAGAACTCAGTCTCCGCGTTGATTATGTACCTCATGAGTTTCCTTTGTTTCCCATACCGGAAGTTCATACTCACCTTCATACTCTTTCTGTGAATTTATCTGTCATGAATTTCCGGCAATCAGTTGGATGGGAGAGGAATTATGTCTTCCCCTCTAATCTTAGGCAGCTGCACCTTGCTAGCTATTTCTTGACGGAAGAAATGGTTTTAAGCATTGCTAGATTGAAGAAGCTTGAGATTCTCACATTAAAGGGGGGAGTTCGTTTGATGATATTTCAAAGCTTTTGCTGGGACGTCACAAATTTGGAGTTCCCTGCACTCAAATACTTGGCATTACTCGGTATGCAGATGGACGAATGGAAAGCATCAGAGGAATCCTTTCCTGTGCTTGAGGAGCTATCTATAGTAGATGGTTATACATTCAAGGAGATCCCTCCTAGCTTTGTGGATATTCCAACACTGCGATTTATCAAACTGTCTGATTGCGCCAAGTCTCTTAGGGTTTCAGCTTTGAATATCAAAAAAGAAATAGAAGAAAACACCGGATGTGACCGTCTCCAAGTTGTTACAATATAGTAGTAGGATAGGACTACTAAACCTGATGGAGGAAAACAATTTTATTTGTTTTGATTTAATTTGTGGATGGCTTTCTTCTTGTATTATTTTCATGGTAATTGCGAATTAATATTGTATGGATGATCCCAACATTATTTTAGTTGTGTAAT